TATAACCATTCAAATAACCAAAGGGTACACCCCACAAGCCTGCCCCCCAGCCGTCAGCACACAGCCCCTCTCCCTCTCTAAGTTAATCCCCCATTTTAGATAGCCAATGTCTAAGTTGCTTGTCCCTACCAACCCAGTATTCCTTCAGTCTGAAATTGATCAAACATGCAATCAAGATGTATTGATAATTACTGGTGATTGGAATGCAAAGGTTGGAAACAAAGAGGAAGGAAAAATAGTTGGAAAATATGGCCTTGGTGATAGAAACAATGCTGGAGATCTTCTAATAGAATTTTACAAGGCCAATGACTTCATTGCAAATACACAGAAATCAAAGTGAATATACAGAATACATCTCTGGACAGAGATGGTGGGAAAGCTCCACGTCATTAGCCAAAAGAAATGTAGGGGAAGACTGTGTAATAGACCATTAATCTCTCATATAGAGTTCAGACTGAAGCTGAAGAAAATGAAAAAAAGTCCACAAGAACCAGAACATGTCCCACCTGAATTTAGAGATCATCTGAAGAGCAGATGTGATGCATTAGACACTAAAGACCGAAGACCAATAGAGTTGTGGGATGACATTAAGAACACCATACAGGAAGAAAGCAAAAGGTCATTAGGAAGACAAGACAGAAGGAAAAGACCAAAATGTATGTCAGAAGAGAAACTGAAACTTGTTCTCCAGTGTAGAGATGCTAAAACAAATGGAAGAAATGAGGAAGTACAAGAGCGGAATAGAAAGTTTCAAAGAGCAGCTGGAGATGACAAAGTCAAATATTTAAACGAAATGTGCAAAGAGTTAGAAAAACCTGGAGTTAGAAAACCAAAAGGGAAGGATACACTCAGCATTTCTCAAGCTGAGGGAACTGAAGAAAAAATTCAAGCTTCAACTTGCAATATTGAAGGGTTCTATGGGCAAAATATAATGATGCAGAAAGCATCAAAGAATATGGAAGGAACACACAGAGTCACTGTACCAAAAAGGAATGGTGGATATTCATCCCTTTCAAGAGGCAACATATGATCAAAAGCCAGTGATACTGAAGGAAGAAGTCCAAGGTGCATTGAAGGCATTGACAAAGAACAAGGAATTGATAGAATACAAATTGAAATCTTTCAACAAACTGATACAGCACTGGAGGCACTCACTCAACTATGCCAAAAATTTGGAAGACAACTACCTGGCCAACTGATTGGAAGAAATCCATATTTGTGGCCATTCCAAAGAGAGGTGACCCAACGGAATGGGGAAGTAATTGGACAATATTATTAATAACTCATACAAGTAAAATTTTGCTAAAAATAATCCCCAAATGGTTGCAAATGTACATTGACAGATAATTTCCAGAGGTTTAAACCAGACATGGAATGATGGATATCATTGCTGACGTCAGATTGATCTTGGCTGAAAGCAGAGAATACTAGAAAGATGTTTACTGTGCTTTATTGACTACACAAAGACTTTTGATTGTGGGGGATCATGACAAACCATGGACAACATTTTGGAGAATGACTATTCTGGGACACTTAATTGTGCCCCTGAGGAAAACTGTACATAGACCAAGAGGCAGTTGTTTGAAAAGAACAAAGGAACACTGAATGCTTTAAAACTAGGTAAGGTGTGCATTCTTTCACCATACTTATTCAATCTGCATGCTGAGCAAATAATCTGAGCTGGATTATATGAAGAAAGAGGTGGCATCAGGATTAGAGGAAGACTCATTAACAGCCTGCAATTTGTAGATGATATAACCTTGCTGAAAATCTTACTTACTGATGAAGAGCAAAGACTACTACAGCCTTTGGTATGGGTTGCACCTCAAAGCAAGAAAACAAAAACCCTCACAATTGGACCAATAAATAACCCATGTAAATGGAGACAAGATTAAGGTTGTCAAAGATGTCATTTTACTCGGATCAACCATCAACACTCATGGAAGCAGCAGTCAAGAAACCAAGTGACGTATTGTGTTAGGCAAATCTGATGCACAAGACTTCTCTCTTTAAAGTGTTCTAGAGCAAAGGTTTCAGTTGAGGCCTAAGGTGTGCCTGACCCAAACCAGAATATTTTCGATAACTTCATATCCTTGTGAAAGTTGGACAATGAATAAGGAAGACTGTAGAAGAATTGATGCATTTGAGTTATGGTGTTGGAGGAGATTATTAAAAGTACTGTGGACTGACTGCCAAAAGAGCGAACAAATCTGTGTTGGAAGACGTACAGCCAGAATGCTCTTTGGAAGCCAGGATGACCACATTTCGTCTCTCATACTTTAGACATATTGTCAGGAGGGACTAGTCCCTGGAGAAACATAATGTGTAAAGTAGAAGGTCAGAGAAAAAGAGGAAGACCCCCAACTATAGATGGATTGTCACAGTGGCAGCAACAATGGATTTAAATGTAGGTTGGCACAGAACCAGGCAATGTTTTTGTTCTGTTGTGAATAGAGTCACTATGAGTTAGTATCGACTCAGTCCCTAACAACAAGACACCAACAGCAATCAACCCAGTGTACTGAGGAGGCAGGCTTGATCTTTGATATGAAGAATCCTTTCCTTTCGATTGGAATTTTGAGCAACTACATCCATAAACAAAGGTCCAGTTCATCAAATTGTAGCAATTTACATTTGCTCACTGTATCAAACTTCTTTATCTTCATCTGTTTGAGTTCTGGTCAGCAAACCTTCCAAGTTAGGTCAAATGGGTACTATCTGCAAGTCTGGGAGTTCTCCCACGCTTCCCTGCACGTCAGACCATCTGGCCTCTTCACTCTCAACTCTAGCCCACTGTGGCTAGGTCAGTGTCCCTCAGCTTCAAACCAGCCAGTCCTTCCTCTTTTCTCTCTCAAGGTCAATGGTTGTCTCTGGAACATGTCCAAACTCAGCCCATGTCTTCGTTGCTGCATTTTCCCTACTTCCACTCACAAGGAAGTCCAGTGAGCGTACAAGCCTGCTTGTGTGTTCCCTTTGAGTTTCAGTCTTAGAAGGGGGTTTCCCCTGATGGGCTGTCTTTTCTTGCCTTGGTGGTTCCAAGGCAAATAGCTTGCTTGATATTGTAACAGCCGAACACTCTGCTTTTTTCTTCTCTCTGCTGGTCTTACTTTCCAGAAGTATCTTCTGTTCCTCTAGCTGTTCTGGGTTGGTTTGCATGTCCTTTCAAATGGGAATGGCCCATCTCAGAAGGTTCTGGGTTAGGGCTCAGGATTCCACCTAAGGCCTCCTACTCCACAAAGGCTTAACATAAAGCCTATTTTCCTGGGCAAATTCTAGCACCTCTTTTAGCTAATCCAGTCAGTTATAGAACCTCAGACTTTTACTTGGAGGTCTGCCTGGTGGGAGAAGAGAAGGCTACAGGGGGGACACAGAGCACTTTCCCTGGGGACAGGCCCTGGCTTCCTCAGCCATCATGAAAGGCCCCTTGCTGCCAGGCAGAAAACAGAAGTTTCTCCTGGCTGTGAACCCCCCACACAGGGAGCCAGCCCTGTGCCACTCTGGCAGGCTGGCCCTATAGCCCCACTTCATGTTACACTTTTTTGGGCCTGTCACATTTTGGGGGCCTGCCTTGTTGCTGCACCCACAGACACGCCCTTTCTACTCCTCCCCTTACCATGACCCTTGGTGCCCTGTGTCCAGTCTCCAAAGGGGCTCTGATAGTGGGTTGTTGTTGAGCTAGCCCTGGGTGTGAATCCTGCCTTGGGGATCTGGGGAGGTACACAGCCATTGGGAGGTCTTGTAGGTTGCCAAGTGGACGTGCGGATAGCTGGTTTGGGAGGATGAGCGAAAGTACAGCACGCAGGCCAGTCACACACTCTGTGTTCCACATCTGCTGGTGATAGTATTTGATGTTGAGCTCATTCCAATTCATAGTGTCCCCATGTGACAGAGTAGAACTGCCACCCCATAGGCCTTTATTGGCTGGAATCTTTATGGAAACAGATCTCCAGGCCTTTCTTCTGTAGTGCTGCTGGGTAGGTTGAGACCACCTACCTTTACAGGTTAGCAGCTGATCTCAAACCTTTTGCACCACACAGACACCTTCCAAACCCAGAAGCTGTTACTGTTCATAATAGTAACAGTTGGAGTCTTTCCCAACACAGTACTCATCTCAGTGCTGGGTTCCGGGCCTCACTTTATCCCTTTAGCTCAGACCAATGTTTCATTTTCAACCCTGAGCTGGCCAGGCCTCTGGGGGTCCTTAAGAATATTTGGGGGTTCCCACTATGCCTCTTTCTTGCCTCCCCTCTCAGCATCCCTCCTCCACCTCCTATCCCTGCAGAAAGAAGTCCAGATCAAGTTCCACGTGTTGCTCACTTCCTATGAGCTCATCACCATCGACCAGGCCATCCTGGGTTCCATCGAATGGGCCTGCCTGGTGGTGGACGAGGCGCACCGGCTCAAGAACAACCAATCCAAGGTAGGTGGGTACCACGGCCTGGGAGCTATCAAGGGGCTGGCTACACTGTGACCTGACTAACCCTTCTGTTCCCTCTTAAGTTCTTCAGGGTCTTAAACAGCTACAAGATTGACTACAAGCTGCTGCTCACAGGGACCCCCCTTCAGAACAACCTGGAGGAGCTCTTTCATTTGCTCAACTTCCTGACCCCGGAGAGGTTCAAGTGAGCCGTGGGGCCTGGGGAAAACGAGTGGGCACATTAGCAGGCCTCATCTCAAAGGACCTGGTGCAGTATTGGCCCTTGTTAACTACCCTGGTGACTTAACCTGTTCCCTCACCCTGGCTTGGCTACAGCCATGCTCCCCACTCCTATTTCTCCGTGAGGACTGTGGGTGACCATGACAGGAAGCAGAGAGGAGGGTCTGGGGTGGAGATGAGGAGAGCTCACCTTTTCCTTCTTGCTCAAGATTTGGAGAGCACCAACCTCCTTGCCTTCACCTACACCACTTTCCTGCCCAGGATGAGTGTTCTGGGTAAAGAATGTTCTGGAATCAGGATGCGTAGATTTGAGAGAAGGCTTTGGAACAGTTGTTGTTGTTCTTGCTAAGTACTGCCAAGTCAGTTCCGACTCATAGCAACCCTGTGTATGGTTTTCAAGGAGCGGCTGGTGAGCTTGAACTGCAGACCTTGTGGTTCAAACCAACTTTGCAGTCCAGCGCACTTGGGCACCTTTCATCCTCCATTTTTTACCTGTAGAATGGGTACTAGTCCCAGAGGTTTGAGGACAGGAAGGTCTGTGTGACTTAGAAAGCCAGAATGTATCAAATATCTCAGGCTTAACTGGAGACTGAGAGGATATCCGGGCGGTCCAGGGTTCCGGCCCCCAAGCACCTCCAACAGTGACAGGGGGCTGACTTGGTTTTCCCTGTGGCCCGGTCATAGCTGTAACACCTTTGCGGAGGACTTTGACCTGCACTGGTCCTTTGCTTCCAGTTTCTAGCCCAGCCCTTTCTTGCAGCAACCTGGAGGGCTTCCTGGAGGAGTTTGCAGACATCTCCAAGGAAGACCAGATCAAGAAGCTGCATGACCTGCTGGGGCCACACATGCTGAGACGGCTCAAGGCTGACGTGTTCAAGAACATGCCGGCCAAGACCGAACTGATCGTGCGTGTGGAGCTCAGTCAGATGCAGAAGTGAGTGGGCTGCCCATATCCCTGGCTGGGAGGGCTTCTCAGCTGCCTCCCTGCTAGGTCCCACCTGTCCTGGGTCACCTCCAGGGGTGAGTGGAAGGTTTTTCCTGCTCTGCCAGGACCTTGACTTGCCTTCCTTTTTGAGGTTTCTCTCAGGACTCTTGACCAGAGCTCTGAACTGCTGGCCTTCTAGCAGTTTCCTTCAGGGGTTCCCCCTGGTCTTTGTATATGGGTAATGGCCCTCAGCCTCCTATAGGCCAGAGCAGGTCCCTCACCCTATAGGCCAGAGCAGGATACCCTTCATGGGAGGGGCTCTTGGGGGTGGGGGGGCTGGTCCAGCCTGGCCTCAGTACCTCCAGCCCTTCTCCTCATGCCCTGTGTCAGGAAGTACTACAAGTTCATCCTCACACGGAACTTCGAGGCCCTGAACTCCAAGGGGGGCGGGAACCAGGTGTCACTGCTCAACATCATGATGGACCTGAAGAAATGCTGCAACCACCCCTACCTCTTCCCTGTGGCCGCTGTGGTGAGTGCCTGTGGCTACTGTAATAAGTGTCCTGTGACTGTTGTGATACATACCCCTGATGTCGTGGTAGGGTCTGTGGGCTCAGCCCCACATCCCCTAGCTGTGCCCTGAGAATGAGACTCTGGCGGTGATGCAGGTGGCTTCCTTGTTACAAAGAGAAGCCTCTGAGGACCTATGTCTGTCCCTTGCTCAGGCAGGTCCTCTCCTTCCTGAAGGTCTCACTCTGTGATCTCTAAAATAAAGGGACATCAAGGTCCTCTCAGGGCAGGGTCCCGAACGCTTAGCTGGCGCCATCATGAAGGGAGTCCAGAAGGTCTGGGTGAGGCTCAGAAATCACATTTTTAACCTGCTTCAGTGGTTCTGACGTACAGCCGTGGGTGAGCGACCAGACACACTTGGGCGAGCGCTAGCCCTTGCCAGCTGTGCAGGATCAGGAAAGTTAATGATCCTCGCAGAACCTCTGTTTAGTTACGTGGGTACAATAGCAGCATCTATCTGGGAGGGCCATGGTGAGGATCAGACTTCTCAGTAGATGTCTCCATCGTTGCTGTTCTGATTCTAATTGAAGTGCCCCTCCCATTGCTCTCCACAAGAACAGTGCAGAGATAGCTGTAGGAGACTGTGCTGGAAAGAGCCCAACTGGGGATCACCCCAGACTGTTCTCATGACTCTTTGGGATGACAAAGAACTGTGTTGTAACTTGCCTTCTGATGGGCACTGTGTCTAGCTGGGGTTCAGAGGGTGGCATTCTCTGGATGCAACCCAGCGGCTAGCTGTGACTAGATGAGCTTCCCACTGGGAGGCCAGCTTAGCATGGCTGTCTTGTTTATTCACTGAAGCATTGGGTCTTGGTGGAGTGCCAATCAGGGCATGAAGACCAAAGGTGGAGTTAGTATGTCTGTGACCGCTGCCTGAGAAGGTGGCAGCGGGAGCTGGGGCCTGTGTGACCCTGTGAGCTTGGGCTGACTCCTGTTTGAGTTCTATGCTCAGCAAGGAGGAGCCCCCAACTGGGTAGATGGGCATTTGGTCTATTGCCGGGCCCTTGTCTGCCTACTGGGCCTCTTTGGTGCAGAACCAGAGAGGAACAGGTGCCCTTCATGCCCTGGTTTCTGCTGTGTGTCCAGGAGGCACCTGTCTTGCCCAATGGCTCTTATGATGGCAGCTCCCTGGTCAAGTCTTCAGGGAAGCTCATGCTGCTGCAGAAGATGCTCAAGAAGCTGCGGGACGAAGGCCACCGTGTGCTCATCTTCTCTCAGGTGAGCCGCTCCATTGACCCAGCCCCAACTCCCTCTCAGCCGAGGAGCATGCTGTCCTGCTGTCTGCTGAGAGAGGGACCTGGTGGACAGAGGCACCCCATGGATGCTGATGCTATCCATGTGGGAGGGATGATCCCTGGGTTCCAAAGGTTGTTAAGTCTGTGCCTTGGCAGCATGCAGTCAAGGAGAGCTGGCTGAGGTTTAAGGTCAATGATTTGGGGTCTGTTGGCTGGAAAGATCAGCATCTCCTTCCTACCTGACTCTTGACAAGCTGAATGGTACCAGACTGGAGCCATAGCTTCCATACCCCTCACCTTTGTGAGCTGGTTCTCAGTAAGGTGGGCCTTGAGCTTGCACCAGGAGGAGTTCTGAGGTGGGGGCAGCTCCTGGAAAGGCCCCTTTCTAGCATGATCCTGAGGTTGCAATTACAGCATTGCCTTTGGGACAGTCAGAGGAAGTCTGTTTACTCTCACTCATTTGTTCCTTTATCTGTTCATCTGTCATTCATCAAACTCTGTGCTAGGTACTTGGGTACAGAGACAAATGAGTCTCTATCTTCACATTGCTCACAGTTTCGTGTGGGAGACCAAGTTAAAGAGATAGTTACTGTCATCCATTAGCTGACAGGACTGGAAAACAGTGCAGTTGTAGAATACAGTTCTTCAGAAAGTTAAACATAGAATTACCACATGACCCATCAACTCCACTCCTAAGCATATACCTGAAGACTTGACACTCAGATACACCAATGTTTATTGCAGTTTGTTGCAGCATTCTTTACAATAGTTAAAAGGTGGGAACGACCCAAGCATCTTTCAACTGGTGACTGGATAAACAAAATGTGGTCCATCCATCCAGTGGAATATGATTCAGATGAAGATCAGAAACAGGCCATGGCATGGGTGAACCTTGAAGAGCTTATGCTGAGTGAAATAAGTCAGACACAAAAGGACAAATATTATATCCCACTTATATGAAATATTTAAAATGGGCAAATGTTTAGAGACCAGAGCTTATTAGTGGACACGAGGGGTTTGTGGGAGGACAAAAGAATTGTTGTTGAAGGGGCACTGAGTTTCTGTTTGAGGTGATGAGATCATTTGAAAAGATGGTGGTGATGATTGTACATCACACTGAATGTAATTAATGTTTTCAGAAATACATACATACAAAACGGTTGAAATGGCAAATGTTATGCTGCATGCATTTTGCTACAGTAAAAATAGATAGAGAGGGCTAGTTACTCACCCCTGTGGCCAGATCTGTGATGGAGGGCATAGTTCCACGTCTGTGAAGTGTCCTGGGACTAAAAATGTGCCTAGTATGAAAAGACTAGATTCATTACTTGAAGCCATAAACTGGGATGTGACTTCTGTGCATATGAAAGTTGACACAAACAGTTCCTGGGATTGTTAAAATCTATGGGACCGTGGCAGGCCGAGGAATATGGGGAAAGCAGACCAAACCGAACCAAGCAGTGGGCTGGCTTGGAGATGGAATCCATCATCTCCTAATACCACTATCAACAAAAGACCTGAGTTTAGGCTGAATCTTTGTGGTGGTACCAGGTAGAGAGAACTACTGTTCAACTCTAGAGATGTGCACAAAGGGTAAGGGACAGAGCTCTCTTGTCCAAAGTGGGCCTAATGACCAACATTCCAAAACTGTTGACCAAATAGAATGTTAAGATGTCCTGGGACGCAAAACACTAATTGGAATCCAAATGCAAGGAAAATAATAAAACAACCTGAAAAACTCTTTGAAGAAGCATGTTTAGGATCCCCCCACCCCACCCCAAAATTAAAACCAGGAAGAAATCAAATAAGAAGAACTAGTATCTGTGTTGTTGTTGTTGTTGTCAGGTGCCATCGAGTCAGAATCGACTCATGGTGACACCATGCACAGCAGAACAAAACAATGTCTGTCCTGGGACAACCTCACTACCGCTGCCACACTTGAGTCCATCAATGATGCTACCTGGCCAATCCATCTCGTTGGGGGTCTTCCTCTTTTTATCTGACCCTCCACCTTACCCAGCATGACATCCTTCTCCAACGATTGTTTCCTCCGGACAATATGTCCAAAAGAGTATCTGTGTAGGAGTCATTGAAATAAAGTGTTTCAACAGACTGGATAAACTCTTGAAACTACTGTCATGAACATTGAAGAACTGGCGCTGGGCACTAAGGAACCTTCCAGAATTCAGCATAGAAAGGTGAAGATACAAATGTGAAAGATCATGTCAGACTCTAAAAAAATAACTTAATAGGATTTGCAGAAGAAAAAGTAGAGGAAATGGTGAAATCATGGTGAGCTGAACATTTGTCAGACTTGATACAGGGTCTGAGATCTAAAGTGTACAATGAAGGACCAAGCAAAATAAATAAAATGAAACTAACTTCTGGACACATAATAGTGAAACTGTATCACTTTAGCCCTAGTACTTACATAGGAATGACAGGCTATCTATCCTCAGACTTCTCATCAGCAATGATAAGTGACAGGAGATAAATGTAAAATCTTCAATACATTGCGGATAAATAACCATTTACTATGACTCCTGGTGTGGTGCTGTGGGTTAGTGCCTTGGACTGCAAAGTTGGCTTGAACTGCATAGTTGGCAGTTCAAGCTCACCAGTTGCTCCTTGGAAACCCTGTACAAGGTCGCTATGGGTCGGAACTGACTCGACTGCACTTAACAATAACTAGTAGTTTTATATCCTGCTAAACTACCTTTCATAATGATTCAGAAAGAGCTTCCCTTTTTTTCTCCCATGGGAGGAGTGAAATCAGGGAGAACTTCACAGAGTAGGTGATATTTGGACTTTCTAGGCAGTAAGGGGGTGGATGTTCTAGTAGAGAGCCCAATTTTCTAGACAAGTGGTTTGGGATGATGAGGGTGTGAGGGAGATGAAGCCCAGATGAAGCACCTTGAGTGCCAGGGTGAAGAACCGGGACAGGTCTGTGTGAACAGGGAAGGCTCACACACAGAATTGTGCTTTGGGTAGGTGGTTTCAGAACTAGTCTGGAGGATGGATTGGATTCAAGGAGGTGGAGGTTGTGTCCTTGTCTAGTCTGGCTGCTCTGCCCTCCCCTAACTCGGCTGGGGGTCCTGTCCATGGCACCGTGGAGGCCCCTCCTTGGTGGCATCCCCTCAGACATACCATCTACCCTGCAGATGACCAAGATGCTGGACCTCCTGGAAGATTTTCTCGAGTATGAAGGCTACAAGTATGAGCGGATTGATGGAGGCATTACTGGGGGCCTTCGGCAAGAGGCAATCGACAGATTCAATGGTACCCCAACCACCCTTCTGGGTCATTCCTGCCTGTTATTCTAAACTAAGTTCTTAGATCACCCAACTCAACTTCAAATTAGCTGCTTCTCAAACGGCTGAAGGAAGCTGGTGTTGTCAAGTCAGTTTCAGCACGTAGTGACTCCATGTGACAGGTAGAACTGCCCCAAAGGCTTTCTAGGCTATAATCTTCATGGGGGCAGATTACCAGGCCAGGTCTTTCTCCTGTAGAGTGGCTGGATGGCTTAGAAAAGCCAACCTTTTAATTATCAGTCAAATGCTTAGCTGTTGCACCACCAGACCTGTCCTTAAGTCATAGCATTAGGCTTTCAATGCTGAAATGAATTCACTTTGCACAACCATGGAGCTATTTCCTAGCTTCCATGATCAGAAAAAGGAGCTCTAGTAGCGTACTGGTTACAAATCGGGCTGCTAATCTCTCACGGTCAGCAGTTCGAAACTACCAGCTGTTCTGCGGGAGAAAAATGAGGATATCTGCTCCCGTAAAGATTTACAGCCTCGGAAACCCTGTATATGGTCGCTGTGAGTCGGAACCAACTCCACAGCACATAACAACAACAACAACAACATGATCAGTAAGGGCCAGGCCAAATGCTAATTGTAGCAATTCCTCTTGCACACTCAATTCAGGGACACGGGGGTGTAAAACTAGGACAGAGTTTGAAGATCTCAATGTGGCTATGATGCACCTTGGAAGTGAGAGTGGATGAATGAAGCATTTGGCGACTGAGGGCCTGTTTGCAGTCTTAGTGGGCACTGTGGTCAGTCCTGGTCAATCCACACAGGGCTCTGATGGGACTGAAAACCAGCCTTCCTGGGACAGTCAGGACTGCCCACTGAGAGCTGTGTCCCTGGGTATTCTTTCGCCACTCTGAGGGCATCAATGGGCTAGGAAGAGCTGGGGAAGCCTCAAGAGACTCACCTTTGTGGGGGGTGTGGGAGCTGGTGAGTGGGACCCTTGAGAGGTTTTGCTATGTTTACAACCTATTTGCATTTGGGTCATTGCCCATCTGGTCTTTGAAGATCAACTTTCTTCTGTTTCTCCAATTAGCTGGGTTGGGATCAGTGCACAGGTGGGGCTAAGTGGGGGTTCAGGTGACCATCAGTGAGGACCATCGCCTGTCCCAGTGCTCTCCTGGGCACCTCTGGGCATTTGAGAGGTCCTCTTTGATCTCCTCTCTCCATCTTGTCTTCTGTCCACCTGTGCCCTCCCACTGCATCTTCTGCTGGACATTGGCTTCTGTCTGCAGCCCCGGGGGCCCAGCAGTTCTGCTTCCTCCTCTCCACCCGGGCAGGTGGCCTGGGCATCAACCTGGCCACAGCAGACACAGTCATCATCTACGACTCCGACTGGAATCCACACAATGACATCCAGGTGTGTGACTCTGAGACCACCCTCAGGACACCTCAGTCAGCTGGACTCTTCTCTTGTTTTTGACCTTGGCTCCCATCCTTCATTGCCTCTTTTGCTCCTTAGTTCGGGGGCCTTCACCCCTGACCTATGTCTCAGGGCTGCAGGCTCTCCTGAGTGATCCCTGGGAGCCTCAGCCCAGGAGGGGTTTTGAGTGCTGGGTGGAGGTTTTTCCCCTGCCCCTGCAGCTATCCCAGTGTAGAGAGGAGTAAGATGTATGCCCAAGGACACTCAGCAAGTCTGTGGTCCTCCCTGTCTGTCCTTACCCTCAGACCAAGGCCATGGAGGGAGGTGGGCTGAGGAGCCCTGGGACCAGGGGGACCAATTTTGGAGGCGACAGGGGAATAGAGGGAAGGACAAGTCCTATAGACATCCCTGATGTCTCCTGGCCACCTCAGGGACAGAGACATACACACCCCCGTTAGCACAGACACCCTTACAAATGCATGAGCACACTCTTATGTACTCAAGTTTGCATACAAGTCACCCCACAGACACTCAGTTATCCCCATGTGACTCCTTTCACATCACCCAGGGACCTGGATGCTCCTGGAATGTCATCTTAGGTGTGTCCTCATATGTGTTCAGCCCCTTGCCCTGGGTAGCTGCCGAGCCTTGCATGTCCTTGTGGTCACTGACACACACTGAAGTGGCTATGGTCTCCAACACGAGTTGTCCAGTCCCCTTAGCGGCTTCAGGAGGTGCAGTCCGGCTCCCAGTGACCCTCCCTGGAGCCCTGCACAGCTTCAGCCACACTATACATGCTCTGCACTGTTCCTCAATCACACCCTGTGTGTGCACACACAGTCCCCTCACACACATGCAGTCACACATGCATGACCCCAGGATCCTGGTCAGCTGCTGTGATGAGCTGCTGGTGTCCACAGGCCTTCAGCCGTGCCCACCGCATTGGGCAGAACAAGAAGGTGATGATCTACCGCTTTGTGACGCGGGCCTCGGTGGAGGAACGCATCACCCAGGTAGCCAAGCGCAAGATGATGCTGACCCATCTGGTGGTGCGGCCAGGCCTCGGCTCCAAGTCGGGCTCCATGACCAAGCAGGAGCTGGACGACATCCTCAAGTTCGGCACTGAGGAGCTCTTCAAGGATGATGTGGAGGGTGCGCTGCTGCAGAGAGTGCTTGGGATGGGGACTTGGGTTACGTATTTTTTGGGGGGTTACTTCTTGAGTAGATACACTAGGCTGGGTCCCTTTCTCCTCTGTCCTGTCCTGGCTCCCTGTTCCATCTCTGCTGGTGGGGCAGGCAGGGTCAAGGGTGTCTTAGTGGCTCCCACTCCACCATCCCCCCTTCTCCTCCTCTGCCTTGCAGGCATGATGTCTCAGGGCCAGAGACCTGTCACGCCCATCCCAGATGTCCAGTCCTCCAAAGGGGGCACCTTGCCTGCCAGTGTGAAAAAAAAACATGGCAGCACCCCACCAGGTGGGTACCAGCACTACCCACCCATCCTCCTGGGGGTGAGGGGTTCCGCCCTACCCTGGCTGCTTCTCCTGTTGGGAAGAGTGGGTGACTGTGGGTGAAGGGTGGGTGCAGGTCCCTCCCTGGCCATCATGGGTGCCCCATGGAGGCTGCCCAGGTGGTCTAGGCACTTCCGGTCTTTTTTCCACAGGGGACAACAAGGACGTGGAGGATAGCAGTGTGATCCACTATGACGATGCCGCCATCTCCAAGCTGCTGGACCGGAACCAGGATGCCACGGACGACACGGAGCTGCAGAACATGAACGAGTACTTGAGCTCCTTCAAGGTGGCGCAGTATGTGGTCCGAGAGGAGGATGGTGTGGTAAGCCCCCTTGAGTCCGTTTACTGAGCTCCACAGCCACCCAGAGGACCTTTCTGAAGTGCAAACGAACCCTGCCCCTGGCTAGAACCTGCTCTTCAGGGTTTGGCAGTCAGGGTCCCACCTGCCCCCTCTGCCTCATGCCTGGATTCCCTCTCACCCCATCTTCCCTTTCTCCACCAAACAGACCCCTGTTGTCTTTGAAGGGTCAGCTCCCAGGTCACTCACTTCATAAGATGACTCCATCTCCTGCTCAGTTTTCCCTCTGGAGTGTGTTCACCCCTATAGCCCAGTGCCTGCAATTACTTGGGGAATGAATGAATGAGTGAATGGATGGGTGACCGGGACAGGCGAGAGGGAAGTCAGCTCAGGCTGTGGTAATCTGGTGATGGAGTAGGCAGGTCTTCTTATCCATCCATGAGTCCCAAGAGAGGCAACATGAGGTCTTCCAGTCGGATGAGACCCCCCACTCTGCTCCCCCCACTCCTGAGTCCTGTGGAACCCAGGCCTGTGGGGTGCTGGTCCGCTGAGTCCCATGGCACCATGCCTGTGGATGCCTTCGTCTCTGGCCCCGACCCCTCAAGCCTAGCGGAGCAGAACTGAGTCGGAGTGTGTGCCCCTAGGAGGAGGTGGAGAGGGAGATCATTAAGCAGGAGGAGAACGTGGACCCTGACTACTGGGAGAAGCTGCTTCGGCACCACTACGAGCAGCAGCAGGAAGATCTGGCGCGCAACTTGGGCAAGGGCAAGCGCATCCGCAAGCAGGTCAACTACAACGACGCCTCACAGGAGGACCAGGGTGCGTGCGGGTCTGGGCTGCGCTGGCTGTCGCCTACCTGTGACTGGGTCCTGGAGCGAGCGGCCTGGCGTGGGCGGGTTCTCACCTCGCTGTTGCTGGGCCCCGGGGGCGGGGCCCAGAGCTGGGCGGAGTCTCGCTTGGCTGTGGTTGAGCCCTGTAGCCGTGCTGGGCGGGGTCTCGCCAGTCTGTGGCTGGCTCCTGGAGGTGGGGTTCCCGGGGTGGGCGGGGTTTCACCTGGCTGTTGTTGGACCCTGGAGGCGGGGTTCCCGGGCAGGGGATGTCTCGCCTGGCTGTGGCTGGACGCTGAAGGAGGTTCCCAAGGCTGAGCAGTAGCCTCCAGGGCAGAGGTGTGGGCAGTGGGGAGAGTGGAAGGTGAGCTAGAGACGTAATGAGAAGGCTTCTCAGAGAAAGGGTCTTGTAGGCAGGCGTGGGGTGTTGGGTGTTTGGGGAAACAAGGTGGGTAATAAAGGAGAGGCTTCACCTTTGCTGGTGGTGTGCATGACTGAACTTGCAATAAGCCTTTGGAGGTGGGCGCTGTTTGGATCTTCACTTTGGGGTAGGGGTGGGGGCTTGTCATGCCTTGGGTTTGAGAGGCCTACTCAGTACCCTGCCTGGCCCCCACAGAGTGGCAGGACGAACTCTCCGACAACCAGTCTGAATATTCCATCGGTTCTGAGGATGAGGATGAGGATTTTGAGGAGAGGCCGGAGGGGCAGAGTGAGTCAGTCTCAGTGCTGAGGCCAGGGATCTGGATGGGGTCAGCTCGGGGCTGAAAGGGTCACCACATTCCCCCGGTGCATCAAGACAGCTCCGGGTGGTGGGGGCAACTACAGGAAAACATCCTGAGGGTCCCACTGTCCTGGAGCATGTTGGTGTGTGGGGATGGGCTCAGGCTTTCTCAGGCTCTCCTGAGGGTGTGGGGGCTGCTTCCAGGTGGACGGCGACAATCCAGGCGACAGCTGAAGAGTGACAGGGACAAGCCGCTGCCCCCACTTCTTGCTCGAGTTGGTGGAAACATCGAGGTGGGAGCTGCCTTCATCTCCCGTTTCTCCCAGCCCCCACCTTCCTATTGTATCTTATTCCCTCACTCCTGCCAGGCTTTGGAGGAGGGGTTTGCCCAGGTCATATCCAAGTCTCCACCCTCCCCTTCCTCCACCACCCGTCTGTGTCCCCACCCTGATCAGACTCACCCCATTCCTGCTGCCCCTCCACCCACTAGGTGCTGGGCTTCAATGCTCGGCAACGTAAGGCCTTTCTGAACTCCATCATGCGCTGGGGCATGCCCCCTCAGGATGCCTTCAACTCCCACTGGCTGGTGCGGGATCTTCGAGGAAAGAGCGAGAAGGAGTTTAGGTACAGCACCTTCTCCATATCCCTAGTCCCCCAGGGCAAGGGCAGCTGGGAATTAGCTAGCACCAGGTTCTTGGTGGCTGGGTCCAGGTGTGGGGCAGGTTCATTTGCAGAAACACTGACCAGCTCCCTCTGCAAAAACCAGTTGGTTGGTGTTAACTTAGGGAGAGGAATCTGTGTTATCCAAGAGGGTTGGTCATTCTGGGAGGTGCCCCTGCCAGGGTGTTGCCATGCCCCCCTCCAGTACTTTCTGGGGTCTAAACCTGCGGCCTGGCGGGAGGCAGACAAGGACCATGACCCAGGCCACAAGATGCCTGGGGTTCTGCCAGCCCTCTGAGGGTCCTTGCGGCCCCTACCCCAGAGCCTATGTGTCCCTCTTCATGCGGCACCTGTGTGAACCTGGAGCTGATGGCGCAGAGACCTTCGCAGACGGTGTGCCCCGGGAGGGCCTCTCGAGGCAGCACGTGCTTACGCGCATAGGGGTCATGTCACTGGTTAGGAAGAAGGTGGGTGAGTACGCCGTTACTGGGCCTGCTGGCGGCCACCTGGGCCCTGGCTCTGCCCAGAGTTAGCGGTCAAGGGGGTCAGTGCTCAGGGTCTGAGCCAGGGCTGACTCATGATAAGGAAACCAACCTGGAAAGGCTCTCAGGATGAGGGTGATTGGTCACAGAGCATGGGACACAGGGTGGTGGGGCAGGGTGGGCCTTACACAGGAGTCTGTGGGCAAGACTGTGTCCGGCTTGGGTGGCCTTGGGCAGAGCAGAGTCCATGGCACCCCCGGTTCCACCAGCTGCCCTGAAGCCATGGGCTGAACTTCGACCACCTCCTTCTCTCCTGGCCTCCCCCCTTGCCCAGGTTCAGGAGTTTGAACACGTCAATGGGAAGTACAGCACTCCAGACCTGATCCCTGAGGCCCCTGAAGGCAAGAAGCCAAGCGAGGTCATCTCCTCAAACCCCAACACACCAGTGCCTGCCAGCCCTGCCCACATCCCGCCTGCCCCGCTGGGCTTGCCAGGTCTGGAGTCTGGGCAAATGGAGATGGGAACATGGGTCATGGGAGATAGCAAGGCCACAGGAGACTCCTGAGTCCTCCATACACCCAACAAAGTACAGCCCTTCCCTACCCTCCAAGTTTCTGCCTGCAGAATTATTGTCTCTCAAGGGCCTTTGCTTTGGGATAAAAGTCACATACTGTGAACTGTATCTTGTTAAAATGCATTATTCTTTGGTTTCTTAAGTATTCCCAAAGCTGTTGCAACCATTACCATGATCTGATTCCAGAATATTTTCATCACCCCAAAAGAAACCCATACCCATTAGCAGTCTGTCTTCATTCTCCTCCTTCTCTAAACTCTTGGCAACTACGAATCTATTTCCACTAATTTATGGACTTGCCTATTCTGGACATTTCATATAAATGGATTTGTAAATATGGGGCCTTTTGTGATTAGTTTCTTTTACTCGGCACGATGTTCTCAAGGTCCTTTCAGGTTGTAGTACCAGGATTTCATTTCTCCTTCTGGCTGAGTAATTTTCTAGTGTATGGGCATACTACAGTTTGTGTATGCATTCTTCAGTTGATGGGTACTTGAGTTATTTTCATGTTTTGGCTATTACAAATAATGTTGTTACAAACAGGTGTACATAAGTTTTTAATGTGTGGGTGTACATTTTCAATTCTTTGGGTATATACATAAGAGTGGAATTGCTGGAGTTGCTATGAATGGGAACTGACTCCATGGCAACGAGTTTTTGTTGTTGTTAAGGTAATTTTAGCCTTTTGAGGAACCTTCAAACAGTTATCTCACCATTTGACTACACCATTTGACATTTCCTTCAGCAGTGGATGTTGTAGTTTTTAGATCTCATGCAGTTGGTTCTGACTCATAGCAACCTTATGCACAACAGAATGAAACACTGCCTGCTATCCTCACAATTGTGGCTACACTTGAGCCCATTGTTGCTGCCATGGTGCCAGTTCATCTCATTGGGGCTCTTCCTCTTTTTTCTGACTCTCCGTTTTACCTAGCTTGATGTTCTTCTGCAGATTCCAGGGACAGGTCCCTCCTGATAATATGTCCAAAGTATGAGAGACAAAGTCTCATCATCATGGTGTCTAAGGAGCACTCTGACTGTACTTCTTTCAAAACAGATTTGTCTGGCAGTTCATGATACTTTTAATAGTCTTCTCCGATACCATAACTGTAATGCATCAGTTCTTCTACGGTCTTCCTTATTCACTGTCCAACTTTCACATGCATATGAGATTATCAAAAATACCATGGCTTCTTCGACCAGGCATACTTTAGTCTTCAAACTGACGTCTTTGCAGTTGAACACTGTAAAGAAGTCTTGTGCAGCAGATTTGCCTCATGCAATACATTGATTTCTTGGCTGCTGCTTCAATGAGTGTTGATTGTGGATCCCAGAAAAATGAAGTCTTTGACAACTTCAATCTTTTCTCCATTTATCATGATGTTACAGCGGTGAGGTTCTTGGTTTTCTTTACATTGAGGTGCAATCCATACTGAAGGCTGTAGTGTTTGATCTTCATCAGTAAGTATTATAAGTACTCTCTGCTTCCAAAAAGCAAGGTTGCCTCATCTGTATATTGTAGGTTGTTAAGGAGTCTTCTTCCAATCCTGATACCCTGTCCTTCTTCATATAATCCAACTTCTTGGATTATTTGCTCATTTTACAGATTGAATAAATATGGTGAAAGAATACAACCCTGGTATACACCTTTCCTATTTTTAAATCATTCAGTATCCCCTTGTTCTGTTTGAACAACTGTCTCTTGGTCTGTATACAGGTTCCTTATGAGAACAATGGAATGTTCTGGAATACCCATTTTTCACAATGTTAACCATAACTTGCCATGATCCATGCAGTCAAAAGCCTCTGTAGAGTCAATAAAGCGTAAGTAAACATCTTTTTGACAGTCTCTACTTTCAGCCAAGATCCATCTGATTTTAACAATGATATTCCTTGTTGTTCTATGTCCTCTTCTGACTCTGGCTTGAATAGTGACAGTTCTCTGTCGATGTACTGTTGCAGCTGTTTCTGAATTATCTTCAGCAAAATTTTACTTGTATGCGATATTAATGATGATGTTCTATGATTTCGACACTCCACTGGGTCACCTCTCTTTGTAATGGGCACAAATATGGATTTCTTCCAATTGTTTAGCCAGATAGTTGTCTTCCAGATTTCTTGGCATAGATGTGTGAGCACTTCCAGTGCCGCAACGTTTGTTGAAAATTTCAATTTGTATTCCATCAATTCCATCAATTCCTGGAGGCTTCTTTTTGGCCAATGTCTTCAGTGCAGCTTGGCCTTCTTCCTTCAGCACCATCCATCAGTCCTTGATCATACTTGAAGTGGTGGAACATGGACCCTTTCTTTTAGCTTTTTATTGTGAATTGAATGAACATTTACAGAAAATATTAGTCCCACATTGAATAAATTATACACTTTGTGTCATTACAATGATTGCAATCTACGCCATGTGCCATCAGGTAACAAAATTTACCTCATACTTTACCCCTTCCCCACCCCTATAACCATCATGTTGTTGTTTAGTGCTGTGGAGTTGGTTCTGACCCACATTAACCCTGTAAAGGGTTTCCAAGGAGTGACTGGTGAACTTGAACCGCCAACCTTGTGGTTCAAGCTGACTTTGTAATCCAGTGCAGTAATCCACAGTGCCACATTCAGACTCCATAACCATCATAGAATATTTCATTTAGCAAGAAAATCTTTTCTTAAATTTTTACAGTAATGGTCTCATGCAATATTTGTCCTTTTGTGATTGACTGATTTCACTTAGCATAATGTCCTCCAGGTTGTGAAGTGTTGGGCAGATTCATTGTTTTTCTTCAATGCTGCATAGTATTTCACTGTGTGTGTAAGTATCAAAGCTTGTTTAAACATTCCTCTGTAGATGGGCATTTAGGCTGTCTCCATCTTTTTGCTGTTGTGAATGATGTTGCAATGAACATGGGTGTGCATAGATCTAGTCGTGTCCCAGTTCTTATTTCTTGAGGATACATACCAAGTAGAGGAATTGCCGGGTCATGCAATATTTCTATTTCCAACTTTTTGAGAAAGTGCCATACCATTTTCTACAGTGGTTGTACCATTTTACAGTCCCATCAGCAGTTTTGGAGGGTCCTAGTCTTTCCACATCCTCGCCAGTATTTGTTGTTTTCTGTTTTTTGGAACTTTGCTATTAACATTTGAATAAGATGATATCTCACTGCTGTTTTGGTTTGCATCTCTCCAATGGTTAATGATTATGAGCATTTCTTCATATGTTTGTTGGCTGCTTGAATGTCTTCTCTGGTGAAGTGTCTGTTCATATCCTCTGACCATTTTTTTTTTTTTAAAAGCTTTTATTGTGAATTGAATGATAGTTTACATGGGAGAGCATCGGTTTTGCACTCAACCAATAGTATGTTGTTTCATTGCAATGATTATAATCCCCTCCATTTAAACAACCAAAGGGAACATTTTCTAAGCCAGCCTCCTGCTTGCCAGCACACAGCCTTTCTCTTCCCATGAGTCTAGAGTCCTCAGATGCTCTATCTCTCCATGTCCTCATCTCTGCCTCCATCAGGTGTCGCTGCTTCTATGGTTAGGATCCCATGTTCCGCTCATGCTGTATCTCGATGGTCATAGGGTCCTCTGTTCCTGGAATGTAAGATTAACTACTGCTCCTTTTTGTTACACAACTTCTGTTTTTATAGCTGTGACCATTGCAATTAGTCATGATAACAATTACTCAATATTGAATAAAAAGAATCCTATCCCCATCTCCTTTCACCAGACCCAGCTAGACACAATGAAAACTAGTCAGTGGGGATTCTACCTTCCCCACTTGCTCTGAAACTAAACTCCCTCTTGAAAATTTGCAAGTCTTTCCTGCTGGTCTTTCTTTCAAGAAGTATCTTTTGTTCCTCTAGCTATTCCAGGCTGGCTTGCATGTCCTTTCAAGTGGGGGAGTGTCCCACCTCAGAAGAATCTGATGGAGCTCAGGATTACACCTAAGGTTCTGTACACTACAAAGGCTCCACAAGAAGCCTATTTCACTGGGCAAGTTTTAGAACTCCTTTTAGGTATTCCAATCACTTATAGGTTGAAGATGGGCTCACAAGCTTTCTGTAATCATGTTTCCAGGTATTCCTTTCTTTCCTACTCAGTTGTCTATTTTACAGTAGTAGGAAAGGGAAACCAATATGCATAAGACAGCCAAGCATCTTGACATTATTTCTCCTCTTTTACCCATTGTATGTCTTGACCCCTGTATCACAGAGCCCTGTTATTTATTCCAAGGTTGAGTTCCTCTGACCATTTTAAATTGGATTCTTTGTTTTATTTTGGAGAGTATTTCTTTTC